TTTTTGTTATTTGAATTTTTAATTGTTAACAAATATTCCTCACTCGTGAGAAAAACAAAGTGAAAGAGTCTTTGTTATTGTTATTACTAATCATATTATCTTTAGTTCAAAAAGCTTTACGCTAATATAGAATTCCCCTTCAAATCTCCTTTATTATTCCTTTATTCTCTCTCCTCTTTTGATCTTTACTCTCCTATAACTCTCCCATATTATTATTTCTTTTCAAGTAAATACAATTTCTGTAGAAATTGGCATAGGTCTTAGATATATTTTTTCTCTCTTAATATTTTCCTTATTAGTTTATACTCTCTTTCAACTCAGATTCTCATTTGTAAGCTAATTTAACAATTAGTGAACAAACTTGTAACAATATATCAAATAAGAAATCAAGAAATCAAGAACTTTACACAATAATTTTGCAAGAGCTCAATCTTTTCAAAGGAAATGCAAATATTATAATTATTTTATAAAATTTGTTAATTCTATAAATTGTAATATTTTATGAAATTATGAAAATCATGTAAAAAATATTTTACAATTTCTTTATATATTGTTAATATTAGAATTCGTAAACTTTTATTTTCTACTTCGTATTTCTATACTTTTTATACTTTTTCTATCTTGTACTCCTATACTTTTATACTTTTTATACTTTTTCTACTTTGTACTCTTATACTTTTATACTTTTATATTATTTCTATCTTATACTTTTATATTTTTATACTTTTATATATTTATACTTTTTATATTTTTTATATTTTTATACTCATTTATTCCAAGTAGATATAATTTAACCAATCAAAATTCTTGAAGATTTATACTTTTTCTCCTTTATTTCTCTACTTTTCATATTTAGTAAATTGGAATTCTATTTTTATTTAATATAATTATCTTTTTTATCTTTTTCTTGTTTTTAATATTATATTTGTATTTTGAAGAAAATGTGTAAATATGAGTTGTAGTTGAGCTTTAATTCAACATGTCAAAACTTGAGAATAAATAACATAATAAAACAAATACCTTTTTAATACTTAAACAATTTGCATTCCCCTCTTAAAAGTACACTTTAAATCTTGTAAACAAGTAGCTTTGAGATCATATTGAGCTGATCAAAATGTTTATATTATATTATTGAATTGATATTTTGTTATAGACTAGTCTTTGATATTTTTGTTATAATCAAATTATTTGAAATTTCTCAACTAAAGACATTGTAATCTCTTTCTTGTGAAAAGAATGAAGTGAAGAGTCTTTATTACTTTGTTATTTTGATATTAGTTAATTTATTAATCACTTCAATTAAATAATTTGTAAATTAATTAATTAGTACAGTTATTTATAACACTATACCCAATTGAAATACTATTACTTTATTCTTTTCCCTTTCAAACTATAATATTTTCAGTAAAAATTGATATAAAACTTAGATTTTATTTTTATAATTTTCTTATATTTGTTTAATTATCTTTTCCAATCCTTGTTCATATTTATTATTTAATTATTCAATTAGTGAAAAATGTGTAACAATATAAATATCTTCATTAAGAAGTAAATACAAAATTTAATCTGTGAATATGTTCAAAAAGAGCCTATTCTATCATATTCATGAATTAAATTTTGCATTTACTTTATAAAAAAGTTTATATTTTGTAAAATATAAATATTTAATGACTTTAGAAATTATGCATTATATCAAATTCAAATAATAATTAACAAAATGTAATATCTGTACAATTAGTCTTCAAACTATAGAAAAACTTTCATTATTGTTATTGAATCACAACTAATAAAACAAAATTATTTCCAGTTTACATTTAAACTAAAAAAAATATCTCAAGAAAACTTTTCTAATAATATAATATATTATTACATATACAAATTAAATTCAGGGAACTAGAAAATTTGTATATAATAATCAGTTGGAAGATAAACTAAATAATTTACAATAAAAAGAGTTTCTTCAATATTCTAAAGAACTCCTGTGATAGATTATATGTAATTTAACAAATAATTATTTATCAATATCTTAAAATAATAATGATCACAAGGCTTATTAATATGACTTATAAAACAAAATTACAAGACTTATTGAGACTGCTTGTAACAAATAATTAACAGGACTTATTGAGATTGTTTAACTAAATTAAAATACTGGGACTTATACAAATGTCCAAATAAATAAGAATAATGACAGCTTATTTAGAGTGGAGAAGCATCCACTTGCTTGTTCTCAAGCTTTGAAGACAAATAATTAAAGAAATTATTAATAAGATATAAATATTTGATTAAAGTATTTGTGCATATCTTTCATTAAGAGGGAAAGACTCTCTTTTTATACATATGTGTTTTCTATAAATAATGGCTAAATTATGATTATTTTTATAAATATTTGTATTACTTTCCATTTTACTTTTCATTTCACTTTTCACTTTACTTTTCACTTTAATTTTCGAATTATAGTATAATTTTACTTATTTTGGTAACTGTATTTATTTGTGTGAATGAAAAAGGTTGAGTTAATGAAGAAATACTTTGGTGAGTTGAAAATATTTGGACTAAAAGACTACCTTTAAGTAATCCACATTCTCTTTTAGTTTTCTTTCATGCACATTTAGTTGATTCAGTTAAACTTATTGAAAATAATACAAATCCTACTTTAGGATTAACATCCAAACTGCAACCATTAGATGTTGATATTAACAAAAGTTTTAAGAAGGAATATAAATTTTAATTATTATATTCTGTTTTTTTGTCGTTATATACATATTTAAAAATTAATTTTAAAAGGTCCATGCACTATATAATTAATGGATGTCAGAAGAATTCATGTGCTAACACCTGCAAACCGTATTAAAAACCTTCATAGTCATTACTCGCTAAATGGGTAGAAATTGCATGGATGTCTCTTGATCCAAATTTAATTAAACGTTCATTTAAATGTTGTGGGATATCTGACGAAATTATTATTTCTAACGCTAATACATAGATGATAGTTTCGGTTTCTTTTCTCGGGGATCGGTTAAAGCGTAGTCCATCTGATAATCTGCCCGAAAAACAAACCAATGAGTATGCGTAAATTTTTAATCAAACCGGCAAAACAAATTTGAAGCAAATACAAAAACGGCAAACAGGTGCTTAAATCTTTCTTGGAGCACTAATTAAAAATGTCCGGAAGGCAATTTAAATATAACTTTAATCTCCTTCCCAAGCCTAACCCTAACGTTAAAATTACCTTTGAATATTTTTAAGATATATCACGTGATGGACTACGCTTTAACCGTTCTCTTGTTAATTTAAGTGATACAAATCTATAAATAAAAATACGCACCATAAAAATATCCGTGCATAAACCGGAAAGTACTTTACGAGGGAGGGGTACAGAGCGTTTCACGGTACATGAATATGCATACTATAGCATTTTCGAATTCCTTAAATATATGCACATAGTCAAACAAATACATGTATTAATAGCGATAGATACACCTTTGAACGATTAAATAACAAAAAAAGAAGAGATACATTGTTTACATGTATATATGATACGTATGCAAAAAATAAACTAACACTGATATATAAATATATCTGGATTTATGTATTTTATCGCAGTTTTCGAAATACGTAGTCCGATAGGCGAATTTGTGAGTCCAAGGATAACTGTGATTACTGCATGAATCTTGCATATCGATTGGTAAAGATATACGTACATACTAATGAAAATTTTACAGAACGATAGCGAGTCTATAATGATAAATATTAAGTACATGTTACATGTACATATAATATGAAGCTCTGTTAAAATTATAATTCCGGAGCGTAGCGAAGGACATTATATTCTATGACTTATAGTGACAATTGTGATCACGTGGGGTTTATGTCCGCACGCGCAAATTATTTGTTTACTAAAAAATAAAATGATCGTCACGAGTCTGAAAAATTACGTAATTGGAAAATATTTCGAAAACTGCGATAATACTAGCATGATATCAATAACGATAATAATTTCGTCTACTTGCACGTGATACAATAATTACTAAAAATTATATCATATTTTACGCATAATGTGAAATTCTCGGCTGTGTTCTCTTAAAACTTATTGCGCAGAAAATCAAATCAATTCAAGTTCTTTTTCTTAAAATATTCTTGGCGAAATAAATTTTTAATTGGTTATGTCGTCCTTGATTCTTTTAACGTTTTTATGACAGAAATTTTCTTATAAAAAGACTCCAAAAATTTATTTACACTTATAAAAAACACAAAAACATTCTCATTTTTATAATAAAAAACCACAAAGATAATAAAAACTACAAACTTTTATTTTATAATGACATGTTTCAAAAAACTTCCCGAGGTCGTTATGACCTTAGTAATTTGCCTTTTTGTTGCATTTGATGCACAACCTATTCCCAATCTAGCTCCACGTCAATCAATTCCTCCTAATCCAAATATGGTTATAGGTCAAACTATTTTTCTAGACAAGTTTTGGGATAAATTACCACCATCACCATCATCTTCTTCAGGTCAAGGTTTCTGGTCTCCGACGATTAATCTTAGTTGGATGTGGATCAATTGTTCCGGTGGTGGTGGTGGCGGCGGAGGCGGCGGCGGCGGCGGCGGAGGTGGTGGTGGTGGAGGTGGAGGTGGTGGAGGAGGAGGAGGTGGTGGTGGTGGTGGTCGCTGTTCCTAGAGGGCCTGATTAAATGCGTGCACACAAATGATTTGGTTGATAGTTGCTTGATATTATATTGTAAGCATACTTTATCCATGCTGATGTATAAAAAGTAAATAGCTTGTATATATACTGTATTTTGATTCATCAAATATGTTCAATATATTTGTATGGTGCTAATTTTTTGCTGAAATAATTTTGTATGAAGTGAAATATAGTTAAGGTAGCTTGTCTCTCCTTTGATCGTAATCCTATATACGCGGTTTGGTATTTCGTTCTCAAAATACATGTACAGTCACTCCAAAAAGTGACGCCCGATTTGGATGTGCAAAATCAACATAAATTTAAACGTGGCGTTTTCCCCCTTTTTTTTATTGATTGCAAATTTTTTTCTATTTTTTTCTTCGACTTTTAAGCATACACTAGGCGAAATTCGTTGGTTATAAATATGACACATACCGACTTTGACGAGGATAAAATATAATTTTTATTGGGGTTTTGAGTGCAAGATAAATGAGCCGTGACCCGATGACGGGATAATGGTCTCTTGCCGACAAGAGAAATAGGAAAAAAGAAAATTTACAGGGTCTGGAAGGCCACAAGCTCTTAACAAGCAAGAAAAAATGCACATTTTCAAGAAGCCAAAAAAAGACAACCTAAGCCATTTCGTGACATTGTCAACAAAAATCTTTGCAAAAATTTACCCGAAGATATTTTAAGGTAATTTCATCCTATTTCATAATATATTGTGCTCATTAACATGGCGCTTCAGCTTTTCTCTAATCCTAACCCTAATTCTAAAAAAATCACGAAATAGGTTCAAGAGAAAAATATTAATGATTATGAACCAATTAATGTATTCTCCCAGACCTGGCTTTATAGAAAACAGCTAATAACCATTGTAGAACAATATTATAAAGTGTAAATGCTTTTCAAAATTGGGAAAAAGCTCAAGACTGCTCTGAAGGAAGTGTAGTCAAAATTTAATGTTTTAGTTTGGGAAAGATTGTGAGCTCGATGCCGTAAGGAATCGAGGTGATATTGAAGCCATATAGAGGGTGGGTAATGTATTAGTTAATGATAAAAAATTTTATGTACATGTATATCAAGCAGAAATGAAATAAACGAATATATCTAAAATTTTATTTTTAAAAAAATCGGGCGTTACTTTTTGAGTGAGTGTACATGTATAGCATTTTGAGGCTGGTTAGTTATTTACAGTATTCAAAACTAATGCGTCTGTAAATCGGGCGTTACTTTTTGGGGATACTGTACAAAAGCTTGATTCGCAAACCTTGTAAATTATGGCCAAATACATTTATGACTAAAAGCATTATTTGCATTGCGTATGAGCCATAAAGCTTGGTGCATGTATGAATTTGTTCGAAGAAACGAGCGGTTCTTTGCTTCTTTCTAGTTTTGCAAAAACTTTCCCGATTCTGATTTTTGAATTTTTCAATAATATGAAATAATCATCAAATTTATTCAAAAAGAAATTTAGGCAAGCATAGCCTCCCAGAACTTAAGACTTTATTATGATGCGCATTAGCATTTTCTTTTAATAGATAATGTTAAAAAAATAAAGAATTTTTATGTGACATACTGTTGAAAATTCCTATCGAAATTCACAACTGCTGTTACTTTAAAATAAATGGGCATGACAAACAAATTTTTTAGGTTCTCGCCGGTGAATGTGCTTTATCTAAGAAGGTGCTGACTTTAAAATTATCTCTGTATTAGTTTAGTGCCATTAAAGTTTTTGTTTCTGAAATCCTGATCCTTTGATGCGACCAACTGCAGAAAACATCATTGAGACTAAGTTCGAATATTTGGAAGATTACTCAAATAGAATAAAAAAATCTTGGTACTATCATAAAGTTGTCCACTCGACTTATACATGAGAAATTTATTCTTATGAGCTCATTTATATTCAAGTTATCAGTTTATAAATTTCCTACAATATGAATACTGTATAGCATAGATATTTATCGTTATGACTTAAATGTCAAGCAATATCGTTAGATAGTATCATATGGAATTATCACAATAAAAACTTATAGCATTAATATTCTCATTTTTCCTTCCAGCATCCTAGACATAACTGTGGGTTTGTCTTTTTGGGCAAGACAAAACCAGCAGTTGCATTCAAACCCCCATAAATGCAGCATTGCTTGGCGGTTTTGATACGAGGAATCCTCTTCACCAATATAACTAATAGTAACCGGTTCATTTTTCTTGACCCTCTTTATAGCAATTAACTGTTCTCCATTTACTGATGCATTTGGTCGACATTCGTGGTTGATAAGTGAGGTCAAGGAAAACACTGAGAGAACATCTGGTCGTTTTTGATGACGACGTGTAAACGTATTGGGCACTGCCATACTGTAACATGTAAGAAATATCCAGAAATCAAATCTGAGATCTCCCATCGGAATATCCAAGATTTCTTGTGCTTTCTGGTGGATAAAAATCAAAGGTTCAGGAAGGCACATACTTCCAGAAAGAGGTTTGTCTCGAGCGAGATGTTTGATTTCTTCAATGTCCAACGGACAAATATCTCGCTGTTTAGCAATGGCGAAAAGTTTGAGAACAAATAAAGGGAAAAGAGAGGTGGATGATCTTCCTTCCTGTACGAGTTGTAATATGGGTGTAAGGTCTTTTCCGCAGAGAGGTTTATGGAAAGTTTTGAGCGCTTCTTGATAGCATTTTGCATTACAAAAAATTTCATTGCAATTTGAAATTTCGCAGATGAATTTGTTTTCGTCAGTGATCCTCTTATTGCAATTGTCACATCGCTCTGTCAGTCTGCTGTTGACATGAAGGAATACTTTTTCTTGCCAGATAATAGTATTTCTTGTAATATTACATTGTGCTACAATACCAAAATTAATTTCACTGTTACTGGCGTCATCATTAGAACTTTCCATTTTAAGATTCAATCTGACCAATCTAAGCTTTGATCCTGAAAGCTGCGAGATTTTTTGCTGAAGAATATGAAAGTTTTCATCTGAAGTCCTATTCGCTTTTCTAGGATCCCACGGATATCCACGATCGTAAGAATACCAACCTAATTCTCTACTGCTGTATTGATCTTTTTCGCGTTCCACCTCACAATCAAGAAGCAATTTTTCCACAGTCTCCCAGTCAAACGATACATAAGAGTTCTTGCGTTCAAGCAACTCTTTGCATGAATCTACTGCCTTAATCCACAATTTTAATTTTGAATATGCGAGACACTTACGATAATCTGCTTGACACAATTTAGTGATGGTTACTGCAGAGTTTTTTAACACAGAGATGTCAGATTCAGTGGCAGCTGTTTTGATCCTAGCAATAAGTAATTCAAAATCGGTGATTTCAAATTCTGATGTTCCTGCAAGTTTTCGGAGTTCAGACGAAATCTTTTCCTTAATAAGTTGAGACGCGCGAATTGAATCAGGTAAGGCAAGCTCTGGATATCCGAGTTCGAGGAATCCCAAGGCTCGATTACTCCATAACTCCGCGTCTTTGGGATTTAAGAAAATTCCTTTGGTATATTCATCTCGAGCTAGATTATAGTCTTGATTTCGTACGGCTTCGTCGCCAAGTAAACGATGTTCAAGTGCAGCTGCTATATCAGCTTCCGAAGACTTTAAGGACAAAATAATAGAAATTAATATGTTTATGACAAATATATTCTTATAAATTAAAAAAATTAATTTACCATATTCTTTGGGTAATGGAACAGTTTAGGACGCCAGAAAGAAGCAACTGATTTATTTATAAAAAGCTTCATCTTCCCAAAACCACGTGAGCATCTGTTGTGCTACATTAAGAATAATCAGGATCAGACACGTAATGTACATGTACGTATACCGAATATCAAACGAACCAATGGCAAAAAGCTCGTTCTACAAGTTAACGATGTAAATTCAGGGGGCATATTTCATATGATAATCTGGTACATGTATTAACGTTAACGTTAATAGCCAATAACGATAATTACAAAGCTGGTAAATTTCATTATTAATTATCATATATTGTACTCAACTCGATTGGATTTTTTATATCTATTTGTTGAACTATCAAATTTATCTACGTACGTATATCGATATTTCTAGGATGAAAGTCGCGATGCACAAATCCCTTGTTGTGAAATTAAATGCATTCGAGTAGTCTGCAGACGCACTTTAGAGCAAAGCAATATGCTTACACTTTAAGAGTGTTCATTTTACCTCCTCGGATGTAATTTGTGTAATGATTTCAATCAACATCGGTTTCTCCATATCGTATAAATATTTAACATTGGTAAATCTTTCAAAAGGATCCACTCGAAAGATGCGTATTCATTAACGTTAAACAGTCGATGTCTTTATTTCCACTAGATCATTCAACATAAATTCGTTTGTGATATTGACTACATTTCCAACCTTATTCTTTTGACTACAATCATGAATATTGTGATATGAACACTCATTTAGTCGACAACCGTAACATTTACTACAATCATGAGTATTGTGAACTGTAGTAGCCATAATAACCACCCACATTTACTACAATCATGAGCATTCGAAACTTTTAGATGCAATCTGAGTTTATTTTATGATTTCATAGTGATCCAAATTATTATCATCATAATATTCCTCCTCATCTACAATCTCATTCTCTTCATATTCACAGTCATTATTCTCCTAAACTTCATAGCCATCTTCATCATACCCAGCAAGATTTGATATAGGATCATTGAGACCATTTAGAGGCCATGTCACTTAGCATTTCAGAATTTTGGGCATCAATTTGTTTTTGTGATCGAGTCTTAGTTATGCGTTTTTGTTTAGGAACTTTTTTTGGCATTAACAATTGCCTTCCTTCATGATCTACAACATAGCTTTTTTCGGATCAAAATTTGATTGTGAAGTTACCTGTTTTTTTGGTCAGGTACTTGATATTGGTTTTCCTTCATCTACAGTAAAAGTAGTAGGTTGTGAAGATATTACTGAAGCTTGTTTATAAACTGGAGTTGGTTGCTGTATTACTTGTTGTTATGTATTGCCTTGACTAAATGTATATGCTTCAAGCTCTGCCAAATTTCTGAGCTGATCATCCATACTTTGAAAAAACACTTGATCGAAGAGTAACTCGATGCATAGGTGCTAATTCTTTGAGCCATTGTTCTCGGATTTGTTGAGAGTCATTCCAGCAAGCTTTCCAATTTTTCGTAATTTTGATGCAAATTTCTGAACTGACATAGTTCCTTGGATAATTGTACCAAATAAAGCAGATTGTTTTAATGCAATTGTTGTAGGATAATTGTGTAAAAGCTCATATAATTTTTGTCCAATATGAATGCCTGGAAGTATAACACAAGCACCTGCTTCTCCATTAGCATTTGAATCTACAATTGCTGTTCCAGATGTTCACCAGCAATTGCTCAATCTTCATTTCAAACTCCTGCTGGAATTATACTAGCTCCTGTAATTGTATTATTATTCCACAATCTTAAAGCTTCTCTACGAAATTGATTAGATTAATACCAGTTAAACTACCATTATTTAATGCTCGAAAAGCTGTTATATTTGCTATTGTTGCATTGTCAAGAATATTATCAAGTTGGTAATTTCGATCTTTGATTTCATTTGTATACCAGATTTGTGCATCACCAGTCAAGCATGTTTCAAATAAATCATCTATCTCAGCTCTTCCGGTGGCCTGACCTGCTACAGGTGCTACATTTATTCGACTAGCTACTACATATCTCTAATAAAGTCTTCAAAATCTTCGCTAAATATAGGTAGTGAATATCCTACCATTATTGTTCTGATGTGGATTATTAAAATTACATGTATGTACAATGTATTAAATATTTAAGTTAGTAATGTATTTAATAAAAAAAATTTAAATGTACTTATCTGTGGGACCATCTAGAGCCGGTCGGATACTTATGACCGCTACTGTATATCCAAGTTTGAATTTCATTCCCTTACGTCCTGTTCCTGTTCCATCTTGTAGACTTGGTCGTGGTCGTAGAACTCCCTCGCGACATACCGAGATTCCTCCAGTAGACAGATCAGTAGGTTCTGTGGATATTATATTTGCTTTGAGTGCGATTCCCAATATCAAAATGATTTACTCTATCTAGGGAAGACCTCACGCACGAATAATGTGTGAGATCGCTGTGTCGGAAAGCTCTAATAATTTGAACTGAAAGTGCGCGCGTTGGATGAGAGAACAATACGTGAGATGCATATTCGGAATCAAGTTATATAAGCCTATAACGAATGCCACCGGGGGACTTGATCGGTGCATGATTGTATGTATTATGGCCTATTTTATTATCTGCTTTTCGCAATGTTTTAAGAATATTTTCATTTCAGGCCAGGCTATGGACGCGCGTACAGCAAGACCGACGGCAACACAAACACCAGTTGCAGGACTAAATGGAGTATACGTACATGGAAGAGGTAAGAGTGACAAACTGTTTGTGTTGCTTGCGATCAAATGCGGGAAGCTTAAAGGTATTTTTGCAAATATTTTAGTAGAACTTTGGAACTCTGGATTATTACACTGGTGCTCCTACCACTTCCAATGGACCAGGTCTTCTTGCGTATCAAGTCAATATTCCAACATCAGAAGTATTTTTTATAATCCACGGGTTACAGCTGGTGTCGTTTCTTCAACTGGATATCCCATCACGGTCCCTCCTGGAGTCACTGCCCCCAATTTCATTATTGATTTGTATCGGATCCAAGAAGTTGTTTTACAAAATCCGAGCAGTTAGCAAACCTTAATATTCATGCACTAAATTAGATAGCTCGTGGAAAAATCAACCTATTCTGTATAAATTAGAAAATGAGAATTGGAATAAACCAAAAAAGAAATTTCATGATGACATACTTTCTAATTAAGAAAAAGAAGATGACAAACCAATAAAACAACGAGAATTAATCAAAAAATAAAAACAAGCCTTAAATCAATTATTGGAAGAATTCAAAGACCAAGTCATTCCACTAGATATTATGTCCTCTCCGAAATATATTTTGAATATAAAGGCAAGTGGTGGAAATAATTAATCTGCTTAAAATTTACAAAAAAATTTATGCTGTAAATGTGTTCACATAATTGCTAACGTCCCGGTTTCGTTGAGTGAGTCAGACTCGATTATTCCGATTACATTCCAGACAGGCATGACGTACATTTTCTTCAATGTGGTCTAATTTGTTATCAATTCGATCTCCCATTTCATATCAATAAGACACAATTTTTTGCGATTTTCTTAACATGAGAATATAGTCAACTGAACTGATAGACCAAATTTACGGCCTTTGTTTTTATAATATCCAATAAGTTTTTCCTGAATAATTCTTCTTAATATGCGTTGTTTGATTTTATTTTTCTTTTATTATCAAGTTTTTCTTTAAATCTCGGAAGGTAATGGTGGACCTTCAATCCACATAAGTTGATTCAAATATTCTACATGATCTATTGCAAGATAAATTAGGTTATCCCATGCCAAATGTTCATCAATAACCCAAACTCGTTGTGGAGCCTCGAGTGTCATCCCTTGACTAGTATGTACAGTCATAGCATAACCGAGATCCTAATCTACGATTTTTCTTTCTCTAGCATATTTGCTATAAATATTTCAGGAAGCGTATTCAAGGATTAATATACTATATCAGTTTTTACTAGTTCTTGTTTCTCAGATGAATCAGGAATTGGAACAAGGCAGTTTTGTTTACGTCCATCTCTTTGTTTATATATTAACAGAAGTTGTGCATCTGAATATTTAATACGATGAAGTTCACGACATTTTTGCGATGCAATCCTTCTAGATAGGTAATGTGCCAATAAAATCCGGTCTGATGGAGCCCATTTTTTTTTCGAGACATTCACATTTTTTCATAGTTGTGAGCATTTCTCGAAATAATTCTGATTGTATTCGATTATTTCGCTGATGCATGCCTTTTTTGAGTTCACATAACTTGGAACATTTTGCTCAATAATCAGTTAAAACTTCCTCGTAATAATTAGCATGCTCTTTTAATCAATCATGTGATATTTTTCCAAAGAATAACAGAGATTAGGCATCATCCTCACAACAAATTACCTGTCATTTATGTTCTAACAAATAATTGATAAACATTTGAGAATATATCTAGATACTATACATGTTTTATCTCAAATAACAACTTGCAGAAATTTTTTTTTCTATGTGTTTAGATGTTTATTCCCTATACTATCCATCTAAAAAAGTTATGTCAGATTTGAACTTACACATTTCATTTTTCTCAAAAACCTTTGGCTAATGCATTCGTATAAATAAAAACTATCATGCTTACATCTTGACAGACTCGAATTCCATGTGTTATTTTACCAGATCTACCTCCTCCATTAAGATATGAAGTTTGATATATTGTAATTGGATCATGAATTGATGGTGCACATGGATTATATATCTTTTCATCCTTGTTATATCATTGACCAGGTTAAATTTCTTGAATTTTTAGTTCTAGTTCTGGTTCTGCTTTTTGATGTGAAAAAGCATAGTCACTGTGTGATTGTCTCTGGTAAGAGTCTGTATTATAAAACCAATCCCAAAGACAATCATGACATACAAATAATTAATATTTTGTTTATAGTCTATTTGAGATATTTTGGTTTTCTGAAATTTTTCAATTCATTTCTATATTTTCTAAAACTAAAAAACTGGATTCTTGTCTAATTATTTTTTTAATAATTAAAAAAAATATAATAATATCAAAATTTATTAATAAAATATAATAAAATAAGTTTTTTATTTTACTGATCAATACTTTTTATTATACAAAATACAAATAATATTTTATATTTAATATATTTAATCTGAAAAAGTTTTTCTAATTGTAAAGTAAATTAATTAATTTTTTATAATTAAATATATAAAATATTAATAAGCTTATTTTGCAATTAGAAAAACTTTTTCTGGAATTTTTCAGAATATGAGAATAAAGACAATAATCTATTCTTTAATATATAATTTACTTGAATTTTTTGAAAATAATTTCTGATTGCAAAATGAGTGTAAAATCTTTATATGAATCAAATTCAAATTTATTTATTAAAAAAGTTTATACTCATTTTGCACTCAGAAATTATTTTCTAATAAATTTATTATCGTTATTCTCATATAAAATAAAAAATATAACATAATAAATTTTTAGGGTGGTATAGTAGTTAGACGACAACGAAATGCTAACGATAACTATAAAGCAATGTGATTTATTTTAGTCCCTTACTGTTACATTAAACATGTATTTCAAGGATACAGTATATGCAATTTATCTTTTTAATTTGCTTGCTTAAAACATAAAAATCACGACGTGCATGTCAATGAATATCAAATTAGCCAATTACGTAAATTACAATTTTATAAATCTGAAAAAATACCTCAAAAAATCTTTTGTTAAACTTCTTATGTAAAATTTGAGAAATTCGTGAGTAGACTTTAAGAATAGTTCAAAATTGAAAAAAAAGAAGGTAATGCAACTGTTGAATTTTGAAGACAATGTATGCATGAAATATTGGTTATAATGAAAATCAAATTTGGATTTATATACATACGATAAAGTAAAACGGTGATATTGAAATTTCCAAGTCTATTTCAAAATTAGCATCAGTCTTACTTAACTTTTGCTTCTGCAAGAAACTACAGGTTTTGTCTACAAAATCATTACTTGGTAATCTATATAACCTGGCCTCAATGCTTTTGTAGTGCAAGCTGCAGATTTTGCATCGACCCAAAATATTGAAACGAATTCAAATGTCATCAGATTGGTATTATCTTTACATGTATCAATATTAGAAAATACTATACTCAACAAAAAACATATACTGAAAATTAGTTATTTTTTCATCTGGAAAGTTAGCTGATGATGATTCTCGCTACTTTTTCTCACTACAATCAAGTTCAAACAGAGAAAGAGAAAAAATGGTAATAATAGCACCAGCATAATTTGAACGACACAGAAAAAAATATAAATACATACTTACCGATACATATTACGCCTCGGATTACGATCTAGGCAGATACCTTTTTAACTCTAATGGTTTTCCATGCACTCGTAAAATCCCACGAGCTAGTGCTTCTTGCAATTTTTCTTCTGAATCTACGGTGATGATGCCAATTCTCTATTTTAGGAAAAAGAAAATTAGCGGAAAACCGAAGCGAATAAATAAATAATTTATGAACTAATATTATACCTTTCCTTGTGGAACTTCAACGTTGACAGCTTTTGCTCCTTTAAATTGATTATGGAAGGCGCGGGCAATTTCGTCTTCTTTCATTGACGATTCTAATTCCAAGACAAGTAATTTGAACACAGCAGTATCAGGAAATTCTAATATTTGGAATCAATAACATACATTTAATGATGAAGTCTATTTTTGAGTGTAAATGAAGATGACAATGTAATCACCGAAATTTGAAGTCGACCAATCAATTAGATTATTCGGTTCGCCATTTTCCCTTGTGATGGTTCTGATATCTTTAAAGTGATGATGTGGCGGCAAAAACATCAAGGATTATAAATCAATGACTCATTTTATGAACTAACAAAATACACGCACTTCTAAACAAATACTCACTATTATCAACATCATCTCTGCTTACTTTACGGGCAGGTCCATTCGCTCTCCAAGACACTTCCATATTTTTAGAAGGGCCATTCGGTCTGACTCTAGCTCCTTTACAAGTATACAAATCATATTAGAATAAAAAAATATTTCAAATTCGCAAAATATTTAATTCACCATCGTCAGCTGATTCTAGTCTCCATGGACGTTCAAACCTATTATTCTCATTTTTTCCTGTCTTCATTGTCCCCGCGTACCCATTCAACGTCGACTGCATATGACTCAACATTTCGTGCATTTCCTGAATCGTTGCATCTTTTTCCGAGAGGTCTTTCGGTCGAAGATTCAACTTTTCCAACAAATGCTTGATCTCTGATTCTTTTTCCGAGAGATCCTCTTGTTTTCTATCCAGCTTCTGATGTAGATGTTGAATCTGTATGTCTTTGTCCGCGAGAACCTGCGTGAATTTCGCGTGTAGTTTTAAGAGATCTTCTTGTTTCTGACTCAGCTTCATAAAAAAGTTCTCCGATTGTGCGTCTTTGGCCAAAAGTTTGTCTTTGCCTTCGAGCAGTTGGCCTTGTAGGTAGCTTATTCGAGTGTCTCTTGCTCGAATTTCGGTGTCCTTGATTTTTAATTGGTGATTAAGGTTCACGCATTGCTCGCATGTCTTACGTGGTCTGGGCGGTGCTGCAGTAATTCCATTGCTCGTCATTCCATTACTATTGTTGTTGAAGGGCCTGAAATAATTTCAAAATAACTTAATTTTAAATTCTGTGATACAATTTTAAAACATATTAATTTATTCACATTTTGTTATAAGCACCACCGTTATAAGCATCGCTGTTATTCATACTCGTATTAATATTCATTATTAGAGAGGTGAAAAAAATTATTTTTATATAAAAATCTTTTTTTGATCACATCATCATCATCATCATCATTGCCACCACCACATCACCATTAAAGTTAACGTTAAATGCTGATGATGAAATAATAACGAATCAAGAACATATAAATGACTATCGATTTTCCATTATAGGTAAGCCAACACATCCTCTTATCTAAATTTGAATATGTATATGTAATGATGCAATCGGTAACCGTAAATATCGATATAGATATAGCGATAGAAGATTTTTTGCTCATTGCCGTTGTTTAGCGTTAGCATTAGTAATTCATGCTCTAATTTTACTGTACGAAGTATACATGAACTAATGAACTCTACCTAGCTTCCGTAGCTACAGTCACCGGCGAAAATAATGGCGGTGAGATTGTTATATAAATTTTACTACAATACTAATAAGATCTTATTATATTCGTCCCAATAAGACGAACATTTTGGTTGTAATTTCATTTTAATCAGAATAATATTCATCGAATTATTGCGAATTTTAGTTTTTTTTTTTTTTAGTTAAAAACGTTCGTTACAAAATTTTTAGAACATTAAATTATATTCGAACTTGCATCGACACGGAAAGAGAGCACACCACGTACAATTAAATGAATATAATAAAAAAACTAGCCGCCATAATTTTTTCCGGGACTGTACAATAAATGCGTATAGTACCGGTACATATCGATATCGATATCGATATTATACGTAGCAAACTGCGGGAAATAGTAGATCATTACCTGAAAAGCTGATTTTCTCCTTATAAATGTGCGTAACATTAATCAAGCCAACAAAAAAATGTCAGAAGAAACCCTCTTACACGACCTCTTAATATACTATTCAAAAATAATATACCTATGCTCAATAGACAACATCATCGCCAACCACATAAAACAATGGATAACTGCCAAAAACGAAGCACCAGACTACATCTACAACCTCGCTCACCAAAAGAAATTTCGTTCGAAATACGCATTTATACTAGGATATTTATGTGAACACGGGATCGGAAATGATAAGAATCTTGCGTCAGCATTTTATTGGTACAAATCTGCTGCGGATCAAAAATCCGGTGGCGGGATGTCGACACAGTTTGGGAAACATAAAATCGGGATATTTCATAAAACTGGGATATATATAAGTAGGGATACGATGAAAGCCGCAGCAATTTTTCAGGAACTGTCGGATGAAGGATGTGATATTGGGACTATTGAGATTGCTAAATGCTATATGTTCGGGTACGGCACGGCACTTGATCCAGATTTAGCGAAAGATTTGATTTCTAAATTGGCGGAAAAAGGAAATCCAGCTGCCCAGTATTATCTCGATGCATTTGGCCAGTCGAATGACATTTCTTCGTGTTTGGCGGCTGCACGTAATGGGCATTGGGAAGCGCCACTATTTATTGGCGATTTCTATTGTCAAGATACCCCGTTGAAAAGTCCAGCGAAGGCTTTTTGTTGGTACCAAAAAGCCATAGAAAATGGTCTCTCGCTGTTTAGATTGGCGGAATTTTATGCGAGCGGTGAATTGGGATCCAAGGATTGTCATAACGCGTTAAAGTTTGCTAGGAAGCAGATTCAATTGGGAGTTCCTCAAGATGAAATTTTTGCGTCATTGCCGGATATTTTTCGATAGTGATTTACGTATAAAGTAATTTTTTTATTATCGTCATAGTCGTCGTTGATAACGACAATGCATCATTGATGATTAACTTCCAAAATTGGTTAATAAAGTTTGACAAATGTTGTGTTACCAGTTAAAATATAAAAAGAGTTCCAGAACATGTATTTTTTTCAATATTGATATTATTTCTTTTTTAAAAAGGATGTCCACAAAAGATATTCAAAATAGTTATGGGGAAAATGATGTCAATCAAAAGGAAAGACTCGATCTACTTGAACAGCTATATAAAAAATTCATTTCAGTCATAGACCCAGGCGCAGAAGACCAACATCTACTACAATGCATCCGCGTGCACCAATCCACACACAACATCTCTGATTACGAACTATTCAACATGCTCCACAGCATCGTCAACAACACACCAAAATACACATGCATGCTCGCACTTTTATACCAATATGGCGTTGGCACCACGCGAGACAATTTCCAAATGTATGGTTATTACAAAGTAGCAGCCGCTCATGGTGACTTGTTTGGAATGAACCAACTCGGCTGGTGCTATCAACAGGGAATCTACGTTGACCAGGATCCGGAAATCGCGTTCATGTGGTACACAAAATCAGCACAATTTGGAAACACAACGGGTCAGTGTAATTTGGCGTATTGTTATTTAGATGGGATTGGCACGAAGATTTGCTGGAGTAAGGGGTTTTATTGGTTTCTAAAAAGCGCGCAGGGTGGGATTGCTGTTTCGCAGTATAATTTGGCGAGGTTTTATCGGTATAGTATGGGGTTTAATCGCGACTTGCATGAAGCTATAAAGTGGTATCGGAGGTCGATGATGCAAGGAGATGTGTCTTGGACGCCAGAGTTGGATGCGCTGTTGCAAAATGTTGTGGATATGGAAGATTGATTAGGATGGTGGTGTTTTATGTTTAAAGTTATTATTAATTAATTTATATATTTATGTTTGAAAGCCGAAAAATTGGTATGATATTAGAATTGAAGACAGAAAAGCTAATAATAAAATTCATTTTTCAGCTATCAATAATTTCGAGGCGAAATCACAGTCAAACCGCCGCAAAAAGCAAATAGTATAATTTACCTTTTATTTTAATTTAGTTCTGAATTTAAGAATTCGCGTCCGTTTTTACACAACGAAATTTCTTGATTGCTACTTACTATGCGCATTTAGATCGATTTATTATTTGCCGAAAAGAATACAAGTGACAACAGTAACTCGTCTAAAGATATCAACGCGCGGAAGCTAACAGCAATACACATGACAACAGTAACTCATCTACGTACGTGTGAAATTTTATATTGATTAAAATAAATGCAGTGAAATTTTCTTTATCGAAAATATAAGCAAATCCATCCCTTTAGTTAATAATCAAAAACGAAGTTTCTTTGAGCTTACATAAAAAATGCATAATTATTTGTATGCAGTGACTCTCGTTAAGGTTAAGCCAGATTTTTCCTGTTGTGAAATTATCTAATTATCCGGAGCCTTCGTTTAACGAATGTTCCGTATAATAAATGTGGGAGATCATGATGAAAAACGGATTATGGTGAAAATTTTGGCCAAAATTGTGCAATCATGAGATCATTTGGCCAGAATTATCGATAACTTCTTATTACAATATTTTGAAAATAATGATAAAATATATAACTTAATTTTGCAATAATATTTATATTGCTATATACTATGTAAATTTATGAGTATAATTATTATTCATAGTTTTATTACCATTATCATGATCCCCCACAATTAATAACGATCGAAACAATTAATAATAACGGTAACGATAACAATCCAAAAACAATTAACAATAATCAAAAACAATTAATAGCAACAATCAAACGATGAAAAATAATGAATTGATGTGTAGCGAGTGATAGACAATAAATATCTAGCAAACAATAGAATATATGACAATATATTTAGAAATGCCAGAATACAAATAAAATCTCAAACAAATTAACAAAAAAAACGAATCTAATGATGCATTTAAAGATTTCATAAAATTTTGATTGCATCTATATTACCTTCATTTTCAACCATCCAATATCTATCCCATACCCTTTCTAAAAGCTCACCCATTTGTGACCTTCGTGTTTCTGCCTCTCTTACAGTTGGAGTCTGAACAGAATTAAATTTTTCAATTGTCTCGCGATGTTTATATATTTCGAAACCGGCCTCTGCGAACATCTCCTGAAATTCTTTCCAAGCATCAATTGTTAATAGTTTTTCAGAACCAAAAAGATGCTGGTGAAGGATGTGCCGGCAAGGAAACATATAGCGATGGAAGAATTCACAATCACCTAGGTAACTTGAAATGTATATGGCCCCAACTAAAAATAAAGTCAGTCACAATTTAAAAAAAATACATAACAAATCACTTTACTTACGGATCAGATGTTCATTTTATATGAGTACCCCAGGATCTCTATATCTCCCCTCGATCCAATTTTGAATTTCTTTATTTTTTACAACACATTTTGGCGATATTAGATCTGGCGGTGGCTTCCCCTTGATAATTCTCGCGCTCATAGCCATGACCTCATTTGCGATCAGCTTTTGGATGGGATATGGAAACTTACGGATCTCTTCCACGACCTCATCATCAAGATTAACTAAAGAAATTCGCTTTTGACGGAAGTTAAAAGCAACTTTCTCGGAGTCGAGTCGTTTTTTATCATCGAGCTCGATGATTTTATGGCACGCATCTAACAAATAGAATTAATTCCTACTAACCTATAAGGCCATATTTTTTATTTATTGTACGCTGTAATAAGATTCCAGCGGATTGGTTGATAAGAGAATGTCAGCACGCCCAAAGAGCCCACCTAGCTGTACTTTGAATGTAATTACGGTTAATATAACGGATAATTTCCGGAATATGGCAAATAGCAAGAGCGTTTCGATGATCTCCTCGCAACCGATCCTTGTGCATTGCCAAGGTTAATTGATTGCGTGTTGCCCGACGATAAATCCTTTGTAGCCAAGTGCGTATTACATGTACAGTACAAAGGATTATGTCGCAGTCCTGTTCACCACGTAATGCCTGGAAAGGCATTTGCAATACCATTGATTTCGACGTTGCTCTGGTCATAGAGGAAGTATCGAGGATGCCATTGTGGTACAAACCCACGAATCACCTTTAAGCTTTGGCCACTGTGGTGCTATCTTCGTCGCTTACAAAGAAATGCGCCCCGACGTCCCAACAACCGTAACCATCACGAATGTATAGGGTAAAAAGTCGCCAAAGATATTTATTAGTATTATGAGTCGAATCTATGAGTGTTAACCACCCATGACGACATAATTTTTCCAGTTGTACAGGATTCGCGAATCCTTGTTTTTGTGGTTGTTGCACTATATAGAATCGTTCAATTTTATAATTATTATTGTTTAATAACTTGAACGCTTTGAATATCAGACTCCGATAACCATCAACGGTTCGCGTAATTTCTGTTGAATATTCGCGATTCAGATTTGAGCGACGGAGCCAAGACCTTTCTTCTCTGCGATCTCTTTGACGGTGGGTGACGATGGCTGGTGGCGTGTATGATTTACTTGCTTCATCGACTACCAATCTTTTGATGAACTCGGGACGTTTAAATTTGTTATCTTCAATTGGATGTGTGTGATCTGGTGTGTCTTTGAAACGTTCAATCCGGACCATCCGAGTTACGTCAATGTGTGACTTTGATTTTTGCATCGTACTTACTGGCCTCACATTTGTCTTCCTTCGTTTTTCAATTGGAACTCCTTCCTTTCGTGAGCTGGATTCATTGTGTTTCATGAAACGACAGGCATAAACAATCCAATAATCATTATTGAGCTATTGTGTCACGTCCAGATATTCGAGACAAGTGGTCATAGCTCCTTGTAGAGTTCTTTTTCAGACACCTCGAATGGTTCATTTACATTAAAGAACTAAGCACGTTTTTGATTAATTATCGTACTTTGCATTTTATTGTTTTTTATTTTTTTTTAAAGCGTGTATTATTAGTAGTAGTAGAAGTCTTAAGAGCAAATATTTTCCCCTAATAATTGAGGTTTAGACTTGAATTATTATTTTATTTGTTATTAAAGTCTTAGAGAAATGGTGCCGCTGAATCTTATAGAAATAGTGCCGCCGAAGTCATAGAAATGGTGGCACCGAAAAATAGTGCCGTCCAAAGTTTATATAAATAGTGCAGTCTAGTTTATATTTATGTACCAGCGCCAGGCTTAGCGTACTCCCATTTCAGGAGTGCCATTAAACTGTAGATAATTTTGATTGGCTAGAAAGTTACAATCTAAATCGGTACAAATCGAATTGGTAAAGCCTGGTGGATCTGTCCGAGAAATAAGCCAATAAGAATTCGTAAATTTTAAAATTTTACATATACTCTAATAACCCTAACGCTAATAAATCAACTTTTAACACTGTGATAACGATAAACACTCCACCAAGCTTTAGCCACCCCCGTAAATAAATAACGCATAACGCATCAAAAACAAGCCTAAATGGGGCGGGTACTTGTCTGGCGAATAATGACACGCGAATGTTCAAATGTGATTCAACTTCAAAAATCATTATTAAAAAAATCAGTATGAATCAAAGTGTAATGACAAATATGGTAAGAGAAATATATTTCTTCAACTGAACATTTATGTGTTGAGCAACTGAATATTTACACACTTTATTGTAAATAAATATTTATTTGTAAATTATTTCTGAACTTTATCAATATTTCTTTGATAATTTTATTGCATAGAGAAATAAAGTCGTCATTTTTGAAAGATATTGATCAATCCCTTGAGCTACTGTGCAATTGCTAATGACACAATTGCTAGTCATGCAAGCCAATCAAGATTTACACTATCAACAAGTGCAACAGCAGTTGCCAGATATAGTCCGACTGCTCCGTCATCTAGAACCGTATGAAAGGGAAGGGAGAAGCTACTGCAAAAGATATGCTGAAATATTCTCAAAATAGTCAATAAGTATAATAACAAATGAATATAATATCGAGAAGTATGCTAAGATAAATGGGAGGATTGAGAATATTTAAGATGTGATAAATGCTATTGCAAATGTAAGTAATTTTAGTTGATTTAATTGAAATATAATTTATCAAATTTTAATATATAAATTGGTTTCTTTTAGTTGAAAGTACATAAAATGAACAAAATAGCGACATGTATCTGTAAAACAATAAGTTATATGAGTTTAAAAAAATGATCCTTCTCTCTGGAATAGTTGATTTATATTCTATTCCAGAACAACTAAAAGCACATCTCATGGAGAAAGAATTATGGGAAATGCTTCACTAGCGATCCGCTTTCTCTTGTTTGTGTGGTAGGAACTTTTGAATTGCATTATATTTTGCATGACACCCGCATATATTTGACCCTGTTTATCCTTGTTAACGTATTAATTGATCAACTAAGGGTTTCTTATCTTGATTTCTTGCTTTTTATTTTACTAATAGAGCAGTCGATCTGACCAGATTCTTCATCACCTATGATTACGAATAATAAACACTTTACTGGTGATTCTTTCGATGATATCTAAACTCCCAAGTAAGAAGATCTCAACATACAGAGATCTCCCAGAATGTTGTGAACACTTTTTAAAATACAATAACACAAAAATCAATAAAAAAGCAAGATTTATAATTTTAAGCTAATAGAATCTTTGAAACATATTGTATATTACATCAAAATTTTAAGTGATTTCAAATAACTAGTTCAAAAAATATATATAAATATATATAAAATAAAATTTAGTATCAAACCAAAATTTATGTGAAAAAATATTATTTTACAAAAATGCAAATAACTTTGCATCTAGTAAATCAAATTAAATAAATTCTATCTACAAATTCTCCAAGTTAAGGCGCATTTAATGATATCAAAAACATTCAATTTGAATTACTAGATATGGAGATATCATGTCTCAAATATAACATACCAAAATGAAATAAATTTTTTGAAGAAAATAGTTTTTTGTGAATATCTCCGCGTCCAATTAACCAAATTAGATGATTTTGATATCATCAGGTTCGCCTTGTTTATGTGAATCTAGTGATATCAAAATTATCCAATTTGGTTCACTGGATGCAGAGATATTTGCAAAAATAATTTTCTTTAAAATTTTCTTTAAATATTTTTTTACCCTGATTTTTGTACGGTATTTTTGAGACATTATATCTCTGCATCTAGTGATCCAAATTATATGATTTGGATATCATTAGATGCGCCTTGACTTGGTGAATCTGGTGATATAAAATTATTTAATTTGGTTTACTGAATATAAAAATATTTGCATATTTATAAAATAGAATAATTTTTTCACATAAATTTTCAGTTTGATACTAAATTTTATTTTTTATATTTATATATATATTTTTTGAACTGCTTATCGAAATCACTTGCAATTTTGATATATTGTACAATATGTTTCAATGATCCTATTAACTTAGAATCATAAATCTTGCTTTTTTATTGGTTTTTGCGTTATTATATTTTAAAAAGTGTCCACAATATTCTGGGAGGCCTCTGTATGTAAAACGTACAGCTTCGTTAGCATCACCTGCCGGACCAATAAATTTCATTTTGCGTTTAATCTCATCTATGCAATACTGTAATTCTTTGCCGTTGTCATTGATTGTTACTGTTTCTGTGAAAAAATATATTTTAAGCGAGCATAAATGAATACCTGTTGCCAAGGCACAAGACAATCCCACAATTTACTAGCTTATCTGGATTGAATGGTGAATGCTCTATGTTGTTGTCATCGATTTCATATTTGTTCACACCTCTAAAAGTCTTCACGAGTGCGGTATGACGAACGCGCTTTTAATTTCCGTTTGATGAAGTCAGCAAGTCTTGATACTGGTCCTCTTTCCAGCCCATCTTTCATAAACTTTTTTTCGGTCATATTGAGAAAATCATGACCGGCAATTTTCGCTTGCGGATAATTTCCAAGTCATCGTCGTCAAGCTCCAAGTCTTTCCTCGGTTGTCGTGGTAGAAGTAGGTGTTGTCATAGTTGCTAGTTTAGAGTGAAAAGTGAAAATTTTTTCGGGAGAATCGGTGGGCTTTATCGTTAACAAATCGATTTAGATCATTCTACGTAATTACGATTTTATTCTTACAGAAGAAAACTATTATTATTTAACCACCTTTTGTGTGTGTTTGTGCTTATAGAACGTCCACTTGTGTGTGTGAATCAACTCTGCGTTAAATTGTTTTTATGATATATTAAAATGCTCCAATAAATTATGATGACAATTCTCTTCAGGTAATAACGATAATATTAACGAGCATAGCAAGTAAAAGACGACAATTTCGCAAACAACGAAAATTAAGTATATAATTGCTAGAATCGAAAAAGCAACAAAATGACATTATTTGTTATGCAAGATCCTTTATACATGAGGAAATAAATTTTAGTTGAAATAGTAATTCGATGAAGTTTATATCGATATCAGGATCATCTCTAGCGCTAATGTTCTTTTTTATACTAACGCGAATAAATTAAAAAGATTTTAGTGATTCTATGAGTGCCGTCCGTCACAATTCCGACATTCCATATGCTCGAAAACGAAATCCCGAAATCCAAACATCCCGAAACACCAATATCCGAAAATTCAACATCCCGAAAGTTACATCCCGAAAACTCAACTTACCAAACACTAACATCCCGATGGTTCAAAATCCTATGTTAAAAATGACAATTCAAAATTACAACACATAAAACCATGAAATATATTGTGCTATATTAACGGATACCCTTATGTCAAGAAAAAAACGGCTCCTACCTACCTCCGATCTAGAAATACTATATTTTAACGCTAAATTTGAGTTAAGATTGGGATAGAATGGAGAACAAGGTTATATATAAAATTATTATATATCTTTTATGTATAAAATAAAATATTAGTATCACATTATATAATAATTGACTAAAACGAATAAAGCAAGTTTTTAACACTTAACGTTAATTAATGCGCGTTATTTTTGTACATGTATATCGATATGTAACGTTAACACAAAAGCCAATGACCAATAAATCTGTCGGATGTTAGCGTTAGTGTTCGGGATGTAGGCTTTTCGTTTATCGGATGTCGTACCGGATGACGCATATCGAGTTATAATTGATATTTACCGATTTTCATCTAATATCAGCATGAAGTTGTAGTTGTTCATGAAAGAAATTTGACAAAATAATGTAACAAACAATTTTTATCTTCGTTTGAAACAAATAAATCAGCCGATCTGAATTTTAACGTTAATTACAGTCGACTTTCGATATAACGACGTGCAGATTCTATTGAATTTATATTGTTTACAATAGGATCTGCACGTCGTTATATCGAAAGTCGACTGTACCGCATACGGTGATATGAAATGTCAATACCGATACGTATGATTTATAAAATGCACATGTACCAGTATTTTCTGTCTTTCTAATTAAGAAATTATTCGTTTCCAATAATATCTTGACTGGATAAAGTCAATGAAGTTTTTAAATTCCTCAGCAGTGTCTTTTTGATTATGCTAATACCATGATCTAAAACACAAACGCAAATATGTAATCAAGTATAAATCCTTCAAGCATGCGTGCATAGTAGTACATGTACGTACATACTGTATACGTACGTACTTGTATCAATAACCAATTCTTATATAAATAGCCTACTTGCAAGCTTTTTTCAAAAAATCACATTATCTAACGTCAACATAATAATCACCATGCATACAAAAATTTTCTTGATCGCTTTATTTATCCCATCAATTTTTGCGACAATCTTTGCAATTCCACTCGACAGTGCACTTCCAGAACTCAACTGGCATTTTGAAAAACCAATCATTGAAATCCCATTTGACATAGAGATAAAACTGGATGAGGGGTATTATCATTAGGTAAAGAAATTATTTTTCAGCTATGTATTCTAGTCTTTCATGAAATAATACGAATTATAACTATATATAATTGACATTAGAAAATACAATAGCGTGTTCATATCTTATGTGTTTAAAATTGATCCATCAATTAAGTGATACCGATACATTGATGTAGAAAGAAAATTTATGTAATACTTAAAGTATGTATACATATCTTAGTCATAAAAATCTGCAGTAATGCTGCATGCTTCTTTAACGAAACATGAACTATACTTTTTGATAATTTTTATTTGTACACGTATCAATTTAATTTACATTCTCATATAAATAGCTTACTTCCTTCCTTGCAAACTTTTATTCTTTTCTCAAAAAAGAAATTATCTCTTATTTTAATCGGATAAAAAGTCTATACTGATACTGATACGGAACTGTGAATTTTACCTATATGAGTGACATACGTATTTAAAAAATGCATGTTTTAGAATTCCGGAATGATATACGTCCCCGATGACACTCGGGAGTGCATGCTAAAAAAATGGTATAACATAGGCTTGTTATTGCTAATTAAGGTTAAATCGGTCTCGGCTTGCTGCCGTTCGCAAGAAAATCATTTTTGGCGGAATTTGGTCAAGGTCAGTTCAATCATCAGCATTTTGAGACTTGGAGTACATAAAATACATTGTTTTGAAATCCATATTAACTCAATGTATAATAATGTCTAAGATTTATAATAAAATTGAGGTCATTTGTGGGTCATTTACCATCACTGCTTTACCATACTGAAAATTTGTTCACATTGAACAGATGTTGTTGGCATAATTGCCAAATATGCATTCTAGAATTGGAAATTCATTGGCTAATAGCATTCCAAAAGAAAAACGCGTCAAATCGGATTGCTGAATGATGTGGATCATCTGAGAATGAATTCATCTTGCTTTATACGTTGCATCCAGTGTTGTCAACTGGACATAGTCCAATACTGCGCCACTGGATCCACTGGACTTAGTAATTTATAAGTCCAATATGGTCCAGTCCAGAACTGGACATAGTAAAGTGACAACGCTGGTTGAATTATCAGTGATATTAAACCTGAATAAGAATTACAAAAAAAACTTGACGAGCACACATTTATTGTAGATTTTGTTTCAATCTGATTTTTTCTATTTGAATGCTAATTTGACGTATAAAAGGAATAACAGCGAAATATTTAATATCATAAGAGACGCATACAAATCTGCACATAATATTATGAACCGGAAATATGCATCTTCATAAAAATTATTCGAAACCAATTCTACATTATGATCGCAAAATGATAACGAATATTGTTAGGGACTTCTTCACTCAAATGCTTGTGTTCCTATGCCGTTTTGATAACAACCAAGATTACATTGTCCTACAGCATCTCACCCTTTGCTGATTTCGAATACCACTCAAATGTTTTTTTCTTATCTTTATAAATTCCAATTCCATTTTGATAACAATAACCAAGCTTACATTGTCCACTAGCGTTTTCACGCACTGCCGATCTTATATACCAAGTAAATGCTTTTGCTTCATCTTTTTTTGTTCCTATACCATTTTGGTAACAATAGCTAAGATTACATTGTCCACTAGCATTTCCGCTCTGCTGATTTCGAATACCATTCAAATGCTTTCTTCTCGTCTTTTTGAGTTCCGATTCCATTCTGATAACAACAGCCAAGATTAAATTGTCCAGTAGCATATCCACCCCTTTGCTGATTTCAAAACCATTCAAACGCTTTCTTCTCGTCTTTTCGAGTCCTGATGCCATTTTATAACGTAAACCAAGATTACATTGCTCACTAGCATCTCTACCTTCTGTTAACTTCAAAATCACTCAAATGCTTTCTTCTCGACTTTTCGGGTTCTGATTCCATTTTTATAACACAACGAGAAGAAAATTAAAGAAAAAGATATGATGAAAAAGTAGAAAGTGCCCATGACCAACCAACCGAGAAACTACCAGAAAATGGGAGAAAGATAGGTTAAGATTATGGCAGAAGCCAGAATCTCCGTTAAAGATCGCATATTGCACTTTGATATATTATATTGTGTAATCGAAGGATATTTGAAAAGATTAAATGTATTCGTAAAAAATTTGTTCAATCTAACACCGGATACCTTTGGCAGGACGGTAAATAACTTCAACTTTTTAAGTAATTAATAAAACATGGCTCAAAATTTAAAAGTTCGGAGTTTACAAAAAGAGTGAAAAGATGAAGGTTTTAGTTATAAAGAAAGAATGAATAAATGTTGGTATACCACACAAAAAAAAATGGAAAATCGCTATTTTAAAATAATGATTTTCCCTTTTTTCGTATGGTGAGGATAAAGATAATGATGGGAAGAGAAAAAGAAAAAAAAGGGAGGGAATAATGATTGGTGATGCTGGTGATGTCGACGATGTTGGTGGTGATGTCAGCAATTTTGATGATGATGGTGACTTTGATGGTGATGTTGATAATGATAGTAACATTGTCGATGATATCTCGATAATGATGGTAACGTCGATATCGACGTTGTTAATAATATTTTTCTTCTTCTGGACGTTTTGGACGGTGTTGATAATGATATTTTTCTTCTACGTGATGATAATAATGATGGTGATGATGACATTGACGACATTGATGGTAATATCAACGATGTTGGTGATGCTGGCATAACTAATTTTTGTTGATTTTTACAGGCAGCAAGCCAACAGTTGAATTCTAATTCAGTTTCTAGTAATGATGATTGCGATGAGTTAATCAAACGTCGAAAATTTGATTCAATAATTGCTAATGCCGTTGGTAAATGAATGGATGATGTTGATGATGACGATGTTGATGATGATGTTTTCCTTCTTTTAGACGGTCCAAAAACAACCTCAACCATTGCATCTTCTAAATTTTCCGGTGACGTTTCCTCTGATGATGATGATGCTAGAAACTTTCTTTTTTTGATTTTCTATTATTATCGTTTTGCTGCTGTTATTCTTTGTATTGTTAGTATTATTATAGTTGAAAAGCGCTTGTGTGAAATAATCAGGATTTTTAATATCCTTAATATCATCTGATGGTGGGTGAACCATAGCGAAAGTGACCTTTAATAAAAGTAAAATCATTAATAATTTTTTTTAATTATATTAAAAACAAAGGTATCTAAAAGAAAGAAGGTGAAAGAAGAAAGGGTGAAGGAAGGGGAAGGAGAGAACGTGCTATTTTGCGCCATTTTCGCAAGCCATTCGAACTCATTTTATGGCGCGAAATAACGCGTTTTCTCTCCTCTTCTCATTTCCCTCTTCTTCCTTCTCATTCCTCCATTCCTCTCTCGCTCTCACTCTTCCTCTCCCTTTACTTTTTCTCTTATTTACTAACCTTTATCTTTTACTTTTTTTTACGGTCAAAAGATAATAACAAAAGATATTAATTCTTCAGAATAAAATTCAAGTTATGACTCTCACCCTCACGTGCGTGTAAATTTTCTACTGCCGGGTAATTCTATTCAACATTTTTATGAATAAAATTCAATTATTTCATGTCATTTCAACGTCGTGCAATTCTTTGGAAAATCGGCGAATAAACGTAATTCACAATTTTAATGAGCCAATAAAAATATCCCAATTATTTGTAAAATACGTACATTATCGTTATTGGAAAATTGATGCAGATCAATCCAAAAATATTTGGACCAATGGTTAAAAGACAACGAGATTCATAGTACATGTATGACGATAATGCGTCGTAGTTCAGGGCGATTATTACTTTTTCTAGACCAGAGTTCGATGATTTTCTGAGGGAATTTATCGTTATTAAGTAAAACAATAAAAACTTATCGTTATTGTTGTTGTTGTCGTTATCGGTAGTCTCTATTTAAAGGTAATACAGTGCAGTGTTACCCCCCCCCCGGGGGGGGGGGGGGGGTAATCACGTTAACATTAATGTTAATGTTGAATCACTTGATCGATTCTTTTGTTCCATCTTAGAAGGTAGTAGACAAGTATGATGTACATGTATTTGGGTTTATCTTGTAGCTCATCAGTTTGTGCTTCTGTAGTTTCTCTACGAACTACTCAACTAACAACATATAACATAATAATTTAGGCTACGAGACCGCGAAACATGAAATATACCATTTGATTTATTTATTTATTATCACTAATTAATTTATTACATTAACCCGAAATTAGAAAACTAATTACTGTAATCTCATCCCATTATCGATAATATATACTTCACTTACAATTCCTCTTCTTTTCCACACCACCCATTATTATACGTAACATATATTATCAAAATCCGTAATAAATTCGAATGTGAATAATTCTCGTGACTCACGGAGTTACAGCAAGACGGTAACGCAGATTATGACTTACTGCATAGCGATAGGTCTGTTACTTTAAACTAACTAGAACGAACAATTAAAAAGGTATACTGTATTTTCGTCTTGGATTATCATTTTACTGTTATTTCATTTGTCAACTTATAAAAGAAACTTGTTTAATAAATAAAATATAGATTTACACTTTAAAGAAAACTTTACATTCTTATCTAGTTTTTTTTGTGATTATATAATTTGGTCTTTTTTGAGTTGTGCTTGTTTTTTAGCTCTTGTTGTGGAAACTTGGTTCGCTACTTAACTGACAAATCCTATTAAAAAGGAGCGCTTTTAAGTTTCTATCAACTTCTTAACTAAGAAGTAAATCCAAAATTTGACTGGTAACATTATCAAGAAAGTCCTTTTCTATAATATTACTGGTTAATTTTGGCTTTACTTCTTAGTTAAAAAGTTGATAGAGTTCCTGCACCATATTTCATCTGAAACGATCAAGATTGATTTCAACTTCTAATCACTTTTTTGAAATGCGATTTTCGCGTCCTTGTGATTGCAGTGATTGGAATTGTGCATGTTGAGAGCTTGCGCGTTTTCCTGCGTGGTACAGAAAACAAGTTGTGGCTGCATTCAGTTCGGATAAAGGATTATGTTCTTTCTTGACCCGATTAGAGTCTGATCTCAATCGATTGAGAATCAGTGGACTGAGGTCAAGCAAAATCTTCACAAATGGAAAAAGTGGTTGAAGGATGCATGGAAAGGCATTCCAAAGGCTAGATCAAAAATTTGGTCGACAGCATACCGGAGCGAAATCGAAAAACCCTCTTTGACCGATTATCGTATTGAGGCGCAACAGTAGTACCCTGGCCTGGCCATGGCGAAAAAATAGTTTCAATCACGTGATTCCGATTCCAATACCGACCATCCGAGCGGTAATTGAGGTCTACAAAGTACAAAATCTTATTGATACTTTCAGCATTTGTGTTTTAAAACTGAAAAATCTATTTTATTAGACAAAAATTTTTGTGTGTAGATATTATTAGAGAAGAATTTTCTCTCAAAATTCGAGTGTCTTTTGTTACTCTTGCCAATATTTATTTTTTTACTTAAAGAAAAAATCGGTTATCGTTATTGTTAATCAAACACAATCGAATTATTGTCTAGTGATTTGAAGTGAGAAATAAATTTTCTGTAACGAGAAAGATTGATCTTCTTCATTAGCCTTTATTAGTCAGGCTTACTGATAATTCGGCATGATTTAAATCATTTAACGTTAACGATAAATATCGATATTTATCAAAATACAGGTTGACTATCTTATTAAAAAAAGTACTATAGCAAGATTAGAATGGGAGAAAGTGAATTTTATTTTCTAAAAGTTGTCTAGCTTATACCTTAAATCCTCGAAATAACGGGCATGGGCGTTATTTCGAAAATCGTGCCTTCTAAAAATAGCATACATAGTTGGTTTCAAAATAACGCTCATCTTACAATACGTACAGTAGTTTATTTGGATGCAACGTTAGAATTTTTATGAGTTCGTAATTAGCATAATGGTCCCAGAGCCGATTTCCTGCTCAGCTTTTTTCACATTTTTAATTTAGGAACGGTTTTAAAAAGAAGAGATCAAAAAGTCGTACGTAAGTATTGTCATTGTCCTATATAGAAATGAGAGAAATCCATATTGACGTTCTATTATATACCGCCCATCGGGTTTAGAAAATCGACCCTTTATTTCGAAATAACGCATATGCGGGTGATCGAAATAGCGCGCAGATGCCCGTTATTTTGAGAATTTACGGTATATATAAAAAGTCAATGTGGTGCATAACATCTAAAGTCATCAAACGTTTGTGTTTTATAAAATTTATAAACATCTTTACTAAGAAGGAAATACAAAATTTAATCCGTGAATATGCTCAGAAAAGAGCCTATTCTATCATATTCACGGATTAAATTTTGCATTTACTTCTTTGTAAAAAAGTTTATACATTTTGTAAAATACAAACGTTTGATGACTTTGGATTTATGCGCCATAGAGCTTTTGTACCAAGCATATTTTACTAGTCGTGTTGCTTAAAACTTGAGTCGAGGGTCATCCAAAGGTGTGCCAATGACAGGAAATTAGAACAAGTTGCGCTGCTCGTCATCTTCAACATCGGATCCTTGCATTAGACCAACATGAATTGGCTCATGTTTCGATGTTTATTTAGTTGATTTATCGCCTCCAAGCCGTCTTTGTTTTTTAAAGCCGCGTAGATGTATTGAAATTCTTTTGTAGCATGGAAATAAAATGTAAATCATCCTTATAGTTATGCTTATTTTCAAATTTTTTATCAACAGAAATTTTTGTCTTACTATAATATTTATAAAGGAGTTCGTATGCTGCTTTGTCATAATAACAACAGCTGTTTGAATCCTTTGGTAAGTTGAAAAGAATTATTTGCGTCATTTTCTCCCAGTTGATTGTTACATTGCCATGAGTTGATTGATGTTGTTTAATCCGTTTACGAAGACTATCATCCTTTCTTGGACTTACGTACTCAATTTAAGTTTAACTATGACGTTCTTGTTTTCTCGTTAATCGTTTAATTTATCAATTGAATAATGAATTTTCTTTTTGAATTTGTTGTTTAAGCGAGTTATAATTTCATATATCTGTTGATGTTTGGCAAAATTATCGTTATACATGTACAGTCAACTTGTATTACGGGAACAACCACATAATTTTATACGTATATTTTATGATGCATTTACAAATACTTATTCAAGGATGTCAGCTGTTCTTAAAGAACTCTTTTCCTTCTTCTTGTCTTCTATCTAACATATAGACCCCACCCGCTTAAATATAAAATTTCTTTCGGGTTTTAGGTGCAGCCAAACACCACCGTCATATCGCCGACAATCCGGTTTCATACAAATTTAGTAGTTCCTTGTATAGTCTTGAAACTAATGAAAATATTGAAATAAAATTATATAACGATAATTATCTTAATACATGTACTAAAAATGGTATCGGTATGGTGCATAACATCTAAAGTCATCAAACGTTTGTATTTTACAAAATGTATAAACTTTTTTACAAAGAAGTAAATGCAAAATTTAATCCGTGAATATGATAGAATAGGCTCTTTCTGAGCATATTCACGGATTAAATTTTGTATTTACTTCTTAGTAAAGATGTTTATACATTTTATAAAACACAAACGTTTGATGACTTTAGATGTTATACACCATATGCGTCCGATAACGATAAAGAAAAAAATCAGTAAATAATGTAAAAGTTTACCAAATTAATTGTAAATCCTTAAATAAAAGCAAAAATATATCGATATGTAATTCTTCACTTTTATTATACTGATCTTACTCCTAATTAACAGTTAAAATATTATACAAAAAAGTGAATTGTTTTACAGTTACTAATAACTCTTTATATACATCGTTTAAAAAAGATTCTTTAATTTAAATTGATGACTATATTTATTTAAGGATGATAATTTTAAAATACATAATAAAAATTATTAAAATAACATTTAGTATGTTTAGTATGAGTAATAACAAATATAAATAATTTATTTTTTTGATATAAAATCGCAAACCACTATCTACTCTAAATACATACTCTTGTTCAGTTCCAGGCTTACAAAATCTTTAAATTGGATTAGTTTGAATGCTACTTATCATTATTTCGATTCTAAGACAATAATTCCATAAACTGACAAATTCTTTATTTTTCTATAAATTAATTTTGCAATTATTAAATAACTACTTATTAATTGAGAATACTATTTTGAGTTTTAACATTATTATTACATACCAATTAGCCAATTTAGAATTAACAAATTTATTAGAAGACACTTAATTTAAAGAATACTGGATTAATTAATTTAATAGAAGTATATCAAATTTATTATTATATAATATTTTAAGAATAAGATATTTAATTATAATTCATGTATAAATTTGTTTTGTGTATATATTTCTTTAATAATTTTTACAAAATAAGTTACATATTATTAGTTTCTTATATAAACTACATAAAATTATTTTACCCTAAACAACATTGAAATAGTAAATTAATTTATTTAAAACAAAACTGGATTAATAAAATTATTTCGAATGCAAAACAATCATAATTTATTAATTTCAAATTTGAACATTGTATTTATTTGTGAACATTTTCAGCTATAAATCACACTTTGATCTTAATTACTCATTTTTCATTGCCTGTTCAAAGAGCCATATGCTTTACTCGGAAACTGTTATCAAGACAATAACTATATAGAATAGATTAGTTAATTTATTCCAACTAAATGACATAATTTAATTTTAATTTGATCTAATATAATAGAGATAAAATTGAAATAAACCAGACAAATTTATTAAACAAAATATACAAAACTTAATTTGATCTAATATAATAGGAATAAAATTGAAATAAACTAGAAAAATTTAATTTTATAACAAAAATTATACAATCACATAATTAATAAATTTTAAAAATTCAAAAGAAGTGTAACGAAAATTCATACAAATATTGTATATTACAACTAATACTATAAATGAAAGTTAGAATAATTTATAATTGAAAATATTCATTTTTTAATTTAATTAATTGAATTTGAAGTTAAAGTTACAATTGATCTTGGGTTTATAATAATTTGCAGTATCAAAAATTTTAAAATTATATATAATTTATTTTATAGATTCAGATTCAAGAAGTTCTGAATAAAACATTCAAATTAGCCAAAACATTAAAAAAATCGAGCGCTTTCAATATTATAATGTCACTAATTCAGATCTTTTAACACGAGAAGACATCATAAATTTAACTCCAAGAAGTTAATTCATCAAAAAAAATTCCTATTGAAAATTTCAGAAATTATCTATCGATATAGTACAAAGCATCAACTCAGAAAATTTTACTCTTGTTTAATTTTTAAATTTATAAATTATATTTCATATAATTAATATATTCTGAAATAGTTTATAAAATTAAAATATTTTGATAAGTAATTGACAACTATATAGATTAGATCAGTTTTTTATTTGATTTTTATGATTTATTTAATTCAAAAATAATATAAATAAAAACTTAGAAATATAATTTAAAATTTTCAATTGAAAATAAATAGTGAGTCACTTAATATTTCAAATTTTACAAATAGGAAAATGCGAATTTCAAAATACATAAATAGAAAAATGTTATTGGAAATTTAAAGCGTTTTATGCATCATTAAATATATAGTTTACAATAATATTTATGTATAAAACAGGATGAAATTTGCAATAATATTTATGTATAAAACAGGATGAAAAAATTTTTCAGTATAAGAAATTCGAATCTGTAAAATAAGTTCTACTTGAATAAAGTTATTTATTTATTTATCTGTTTGTTGATTGTTAAACTAAAAATTTATTACTATAGACAGCTATTTTTTTCAGTTTATTTTAGTTTACGATTATAATATCAAATGTAATAATATTGCAAATTATACTTCAAGTAAAACTCTTAAGAACCATTATGCAATATATAAAACTACTTATTAGATCTAATATTTTTTAGCAAAATTTTAATTACCAAGATTTTTACAATTTTTCAACAATTATATATAGTATATTTCAATTATGAACAAAATATTATTTAATAAAATTATAAATTCAGAAGTTTAGTTAATAGTAATTTAATTTTTTTAAACTGACTTTAATGTACATGTAATAAATATAAATAAATCATAGTTAGATTATGTTTCATTGCTGAATTCTTTACTTTTCATATAAAAATTTTATTTAAATGTAATGAGAATTATTTTAAATTTAAATAAATTATATATATATACACATTAAGCTTACACTGGAAACTGAAATTGATACATATGCTGGTCAAGTACAGTTTTTTCAGTACAAAATCAAAGTTAATAATGCAAATAATTTTTTAGAAGAGAAAACGCACTATTTAAATACAGTAACTAAGTGACTAATAGCAAATAAATATTCAAAGAAATTTTTTTCTAAAAGTACAGTTTTTTTTATTTGATATAGTAAAATAAATAAACAATCAAATTTTTCAAACCTTATTTCTTTTGTCAATTGAATTAAGAACTATATAAACTTCAAATACAGTCAACCCTCTCTATTATCAACCAATACCTCTTTATTATCAACATTTATTGCAGAACAAATTTCACTTGGACTAATATATTGATACTAACTCCAACATCTGAGTTATCAACCCTCTTATATATCAACAGAAATCCTGATCCCGTCATGTTGACAACAGAAAGAATTAATTGTACATCATAGAGTTAAATAAAATTCGATACAAATTTAACCTGTTAATTTATTTATGATTCTAACAAAAGATTTAATGAAAATTGTCTGTCAATTTGTTAAAATAGGAGAAAAATAGATATTTAATACAAAATTTTTACTTTATTTTATTTCGGACTTTTCAAATCCAAATAAAGTAGATCGTGTAAGCACAAGTTCCTTCCGTATTATTTCTTATAGGTGATTAATTCTAATTAAATGAATCAAATAGGGATTTTTTAGAACAATTTTACCTATTCAATAAATATTTTCATAATGGACGCGTAGATACACGTGTACAATTACAAACATAGTTTTTGATACAAAAAATCGGAGTCTTTCAAAAGATATAGAAGTAAAAAACTCAATTTTTACTAAAATTGTTAGAATTGTATTGTTAAAGAAAAATACACTCGCTGGAATACAAAATCTTGTAAGCAATATTTAAAAAGAATACCGATACTTTATACATGTACTACGACAATAATCTTCATAAATTATTAGCGTTAGAAAGCATTTTGTATTATGTAATTAATTCAATTTGAAAGATGAAAATGGTACAAAGAACGTAGATGTATTTTTGTGTTGTGGCTTAAAATTTTTAATAAGTCAATTTGAATAAGTATGAGGCTTTAAAGGCAACAAAAAACCTGATTTTGAACGGAATTGGAATCCAATTTACATTACTAAATAAATAAAAAATCGACTTTATGTGCTAACAGTACAACGAACAAAACATGCTTTATTTACAAATACAGTATTCATAACGATAAATACACGTGCAAACCAATCAGTTCAAAGTTTGGCTTGAATGAACTATGGACATGTATCGGTATATTAATGTTAATCGAGTAAAAAAATTTTAATCTAGGATATAAATTGAATCTTCTGAAAGAACCGTTAGTTTCATCTTTAACGGGTAATACCGATACGGTACATGTTTATAATCCTAAGCTTAAAAAATAAAAGAACCGCGCGCGTTCCCTCGACAGAAATAAATAGAGAATCTTGATATTGTTAATAAAAAGTTGATATCATATTCGATAGAACTATCAACTTAAAAATTTTGATACTAACAATTATTACTCTTGAAGCAAATATTCTATAATGATAAAGCTACTACTCCAATTCATTCTCAATGAACCAAAAAAAATAACCAAAAAATCCCTACACACACAAAAAATCGTGGCTGTGTGCATTGTTCCACATTGTAATTGAATTACGATAATAACGATACTAATACCGATACGTACGTAAGAACGATAATAGTGATAACAATAAAATTCACGTCACACATACATATGCACATTTTTTAACTACATGTCTCCACGATATTTTTTTCTACGTAAAAGTCTATTTATTTACAACTAGACCAAAAAAAATTTGTGAACCATTTTTAAGATCAATTTACCAATACCGACCGATACAATAAATTGAAGATCTCTAATTGAAAGACAGAGCAATTGAATATCGATATCGATATACATTTTTTTTATTTACAATCAAAAAATTTTAATTAATTGTCATTCATTTCATAATCAATCGTATAAGCTCAATAATATGGCTACCAGAACTAGTACCATTCTGACTTTTGAATTCGGTGTATCAGACTCTAGCAAGAAAACATGGAGTCCACCATTTGCCACTTCACCTGGAAGATTCTGGCAATTGCACTACAGAGCTGTACGTGTCTACTATTCTTAAATCAATTGTCTCTTTTGTTTCATTTAAATATACTGGACAATTCAGATTTCTTCAAAAAAATCTCAGCATTCACAAGACTCACATGACAACTGTACAATAGCGTTGGCAGCGATTCCCAACGAGCAAGAAGTGCAATTACCGGCAGCATGGACTGAGAGAAATAAATTGACTGGTACTTTATATTACAAAGAAAATGCTTTGATCGGGTAATAATAAAATCACTAGATGCTAATAAAGAAAGAGGTTTTTTGATGAGTTTTGAAGATTAAATTATATTGATTTTTCAATTTCTAAAACTTTCTAGATTCGGGAAAATTATACCACAGCCTATACAAATGGATAGATATTCACTGGAATTGAGAGCATTAGGTATGTTTAAAACTCTAAAAATTCCGAAAACAAAAAAAAAGAGAAAAACTCCATGGCTCCTCCATATACCTCACTATTTCTAATAAACCAAATTCTCAGGATTCTCTCACCCCCGCTCCGAACTTCCCGAAGGCTTCATTATTGGTGTACAATTCAGTAACGTTCAAGACACGTGTAAATCAATGAAATACCCATTTCCGACAAAGCCGATCCCGTCGTCGTTAGTGGACGCGTGGGCTGCCGAGCTGAACAAACAAAGTACAGCGGATGTGCAGTTTGTGGTTCAAGAGCAGGCGATTTATGCCAACAGTTCAATATTGTGTCAGCGGTCCGAGTATTTTCGGAATTTTTTGAGATCAAAATGGGCAGAGTCTAATTCCTTTGACAACAGCAATAATAATGACAATAATGCCATTGTGAATACTATCAACAATAATGGGTTCGTCATATTTCAACAGCAACAACAACAATTACAGTCCATTTCTCAAAACCCACAAATAAAATGCACAATCCAAATCCCAGACTTTCACCCCGCCACATTCGCAGAAATGCTCCGATTTCTCTACACCGACCAAGTAAACTTTGATGATGACACCAACCAAGAAAGCTCTGCACGAACGGCTCTTGCAATCCTTGAAATCAGCGATAAATATCTAATCGGGGAACTTCGCCAACGCGCCAAGGAACGAATAATCAGTAGTCTGACTGCTGAAAATTCCGCAGAATTTTTATTCGCACAGGCATGGAAGTGGCCGGATGTCAAAAAAGGCGTTTTCGATTACGTGGTGAGGAATTTTAACGACGTGCGAAAGTCGGAGGGGTTTCAACGTATTCGTTCGAATTTTGATGCATATCCGATGGCGACTGGGTTATTTGCTGATATTTTGAATGCTCTTTCGTTAGTTTGATGAAATTTTTTCATCTTTTGGCTCGTGACTTAACTGCTTATAATAATTTTATTTGGTCGTTGTAGTATTCGAATAGGTAAAAGTGAAACGCATTTCAAAACCACCATATCTAAAAATTTCGCGACATAAACATTCGTATATTACATGTATTATCATTATTATATGCCCAAAAAATCAGAACTCCGAGAATTCAAATAAAATATCGATATTAAAAAAAAACCCAAAATTTCCGGACTTATTAATATACGTATTGGTATACCGTTACCTAATCATTCTATCGGAACTACATTTCCATTATTAGTCGAACAATTACCATGCAGTGTAACGGTAAGCAAAACAGCGAAACGCGCATTTATGTTACTGAAGTTAAATATAGATAATAACGATAATAACAATAATAAGAGAAGAGTGAAAACCTGCCTGTATATTACATTTTTTTTTTCACTTCGAATTTGCTCATTATTTATTATATTTTCGTTATTTTGAATATATTATCATTATTTCATTATTACAAAAGTAATCAAAAATTTTCGAGATAAATAATAGCGATAGTACATGTAATAAAAATTCAACATAATAACAATAGATGAAAAAATATGTCAAACGTCACGAAAATTGAACTCGATGAGGAAAAAACAACGACCCCTACTTCTGATACTCCTAGCCAAACTAAAAATGGAAACTCCATAGAGACTGAGGGAAATAAAAAGGATGAAAATACGACAACTGACAATACAAATAGTAACGAGAACATAAATAAGGAAAATTCGACTAATGAAAAATCTCACGATGCAACTAATAGCAATAAAACTATAGACTCATCAAATAATAGCACGAACAACAACATATCCTTGCACGAACCCTTACAAAACGCATCACTTGGCGACAGCAATCCCACACTTCCACCGAACCAAACCAGCACATGGATCTACTCAATACTAGTGATCACAGTCGGCATAATCCTTCTACTATCATGCCTAGTACATCGAAAATCAAAACGCAAACAACGACGTGGTGGTCGTTCACACGCAGATCTCGATGAATGGAATCGACCCGGAAGATATAATGAAGTCGATTATCAGGACGTCGAGATGCAGGATTGGAGTGAGAGTGATCGTGAGGGAGATACCGAGGGCAATGAATATTTGACAGTGGATACTGAAGGATCAAATGATTATCATAATAGTATGAATTTTGATGTCGTGCTTTATAAGGATGAATCGGGAGACGAAGAATCATCTGAAAACATTGGTCATGTTTATGATAATAATGTTTCCAGTAATAGTAATATTCATAGCGATAGTAATCCTAATAGTAATGTTGATGCTAGTAATTATATGGTGAAGTTGGTTGATGTCGAAGACGATGATGATGAAACTGATAATTGGGGATGGCCGGATGTGGATGATAGTTCAATTGTGAATACTATAGACAAGATTAATAATTTGTAATTTAACAATTTGTAATTATTAATTTAATGTTTGATTAATATACGTAACTTATAATGAAATATCACGTCAAAAAATAGCTATGGTGCATAACATCTAAAATCATCAAACGTTTGTATTTTACAAAATGTATAAACTTTTTTACAAAGAAGTAAATGCAAAATTTAATCCGTGAATATGATAGAATAGGCTCTTTCTGAGCATATTCACGGATTAAATTTTGTATTTACTTCTTAGTAAAGATGTTTATACATTTTATAAAACACAAACGTTTGATGACTTTAGATGTTATACACCATATGAAACAAAGAGCAATTTGACAACAACCTGAAAAAGCTAAACATATTTTATTACGTAGCTAAACAAAAAAACTTTCCAAAATTCCAAAATCTACCTGCAACTAAAGATGAATAGTGTTGCGCTTTTAGCTAAGTTGGGGCGAATTGAGGGATTTCTAACGCAACAAGATTTTGGGAGAGATTATTAGACTGATGTTTATTTCGGTATCTAGAGCCTGTGCCGATATCTACGGATATCGTTTATTACGTTGATTTTTGGGTGGGGGGAAGAGAGAGACTATGTGTTTCAGCTGAGTGTTTGGGGTTTTCTTAACTATTGCTTTTTATAGATAAAAGCCTTAAACCCTTAAGAATCTTATTAACAATCGTCGCTTTTTCTAGACAAAAGCCTTAAACTCTTAAAAATAATAACGATAATTACGATCAAACAATATAACGATTAAAGTGGGGGAAACGGGGGAAGAGTTTTACAAGCGATAATTTACTTAGGGAGAGAATAATTGTACACAATAATTCAAGTTTTAATTTTGCTTGGAGAACAATAGTACGCAATGTGAATTCTCTTTTTACAAGTAGCTTACTTGGAGAATAATTGTTCGCAATATTAATTCTGCTCTTTATTAGTAGCCCGTAGGCCGCTCTTTTATACATTTTTTTGTGTTTCATGTCATTTGTCACTTTTAATACTATTTTAGTTATTAATGAAAACGTTTATATTGAACACTTTAATATCTATGAAAGAAACTGATGTAAGGCGAATTGAAAACCGATGGAATTATGCTGAAGAATGATGAGAAGACGCTAAAATGACGAGGGAATGCTGAAAGATGATGAGGAGATGCTGAAAGATGGCGAGAAGATGCTGAAAAGCGATGACAAACGCTGAAGAGGACGCTAAAATTGATGACAAATGCTGTATTTCGACAAAAGCAGGCGTGGAGAAGATCGTATTTTCGTGCTGTATACCAAAAGGGGAAGCCTGTTGTTTTTATCTGCACGTCAGGGGGAATTTACAATGTTATGCTGTTATTTTGTTGAAAAATCTACAGCGTTGTTGAAGATCGTGATGGGAATTTGCTGTGACGCTGAAAAATCTATCGGTTTAGGGAGTCTGCAGCATTGTTGATAGTCGTGATGGGAATTTGCTGTAGCGATGCTGAAAAATCTACCGGATCTGGAAATCAGCAACGTTGGAGATACGTACATTCGTCCGGCGTTAGCGACATCCACGGCTCGTCTTTCGCCGTTTCATCCCGAAAAAGCTGGAATCGAAGAATTTTGTTCCCGGCGGTAACAATAATGCTATTTTTTATACCGACACTGATACATGTATACAAAGAAACTATCTCAAAGTTTAAAATTCTCTTTATAGTTGAAATATAATTGTATTATTTGGAAAGGTTTAAGTGATTTAAGGTATACGTAATAATGTATTTTTGTATATTCTTCTCATAAACTTCTTTCAATTTCTGCCTTATAGTTTAAGATACTCATATATTTCATGTTTTAAAGAACTCTACAGTTTATTTAAATATTAATATAACGTGTAGATAGATTAATAAAGTTCTAAAGCAGTTGGTCTCGGTCTGTTTACTGGAATATACCGATACCGATACATGTAATCCCATAAAAATTTGTACCATCTATCATGTCACAAGATGGTTGTTCACTGCAAACAATCTCATATTGATACATGTACATGTATTATTCATTATTGTCTCCAAAATAATTGATTAGTACCCATTATACATACAATACCTTGCTGGAAAGATCTCATTAAAGTTATCTTCAGGACATTGATACTGTTGAAAATTCTGGTTCAAAAGCCAATCATATACAATTAATAAAGATTATTGATATAAACAAATGGAGTATTTTGTTTGAATTGCAATTGATAAGATTTTCAATTAGTTTTCTGGTGGATATTATGCATAGTTTTTTTTGAAAATGTGACTTTGACAATGTTTTATCACTGAGCTAGCACATTACTTAAATTAGATAATTTCAATATCTCTAATGATAACTAATAACAAATTAGAAGTATTATTAAAAAAAAATTGAAAAAGCATATTATATGAATTTGGCCAGTCATTAATTGATATTGCAAAGTATTTCAAATTATTCAAGACTGAGGAATGAATGAATTGAATTATATTATATTCAGTCCCACTTTTATCTGGAAATTTAGATAATAAGTTAAGCAAAAATATAATTAACTATTTTTCTAAAAGTAATTCTTATTTTTTTTGATTTTTTTCAAATACTTAAAGGAATGAACAAAATTTGTTGATGTATACAAACTTTGTTTGAAAAAAGTAATTACTTTTAGTAAATTAAAAAAAATTAAAAGATTTCTTTCCAAGTTTATAATATACTATGACAAAGAATATTATCAAAGAGAATCTGTCTGACTACTAATATCTTTAATCTCCTTCTATTATCTTTTCATATTGTCAAATCCATCCAAAATACTGAACAAGCATGAATCACCTGATAATATCTGATGAAAAGACTTTGTAAGATATTATTATTTCTTGTCTGATCAAATAACATTCCTATATAAATCTAACCAATCAAATTACTATATAAAATCAATTTTTTATCTTCAATATTTTCTGAAAATTAATAATAGAATATTTAATAATCAAAAAAAAATAGAAAAATTTGAGAAAAAGCAAAATTTTGAAATTAAAGATGAAAATGAATTATTATTAGTATCAGAATAAAAATATATACTTAACAAAATAAAAAAAATAGTTGCTAAAATATTACTATATTATAATATAAGAAATAAATAATCTTGAAAAGATATTTTATCTAGTTCAAAACTTTATTCACAAACTGTTACTACATATATTAATATTAATATAATAATAATTTTTAGAAAATTTTATCAGATATTTGAATTTATAGAAAGCTTCAAATTGCAAATAAAGAAATAATTAATTTATAACTCATTAATCAATAATAAAATATTGTTGTATAATGAACTTTCGTCATAATATTTTATTATTGGATTATAAATATCTCATATATTATTGGATAAAGATCATATCACGTGAAGTGAGTGAACAAGCGAGCGAACAAGCAAATGAACAAATGAACGAATAACTAAGTGAATGAGTGAATGAACGAGCGAACAAATATTGAACCAATAGAATTTAAATGATATAGCGAATATGAATTCGTATAGCCAAGAAATTATATCTTGAATTTGTATAAAAGCAACATATATCGTAGTTGTTAGAATTAGATATGAACAAGTCCTTTTAGATAGTAATTCCCAATTATCACGTCTAATTAGTTATC